TAATAAGTCCCTTGAAATCAGATCTGAAAGTTTGGACTGAGGTCTTAAGGTATTAAGAAGTTTTAAGACATTTTAGGAGTGATTTTGACCTTTTGGAATTCATCTTTGGTGTTTGGGATTCATTAAGCCATGCAAAGGCTTAAAGCATTTGACTTTATGGATCAAGTCACTTATATTTAGCCATTTTGAGGTTCTGGACATCTTAGCTTAATGGATTAAGAGCTAGGATTGAGAGTTGGTCAACAGGAGGAATACATTAGGCGTACAAGCCTGTATGTGCAGTGTACAAGCCCTTAAGCTAGTACGCTTAGCGTAAAAGCTGAGTACGCCCCGCGTACTCAACATAATAGGATTTTGGTTTTTGGGCTTCAGTTTGGGCCATCTTCTTGGCTTTATTGTTCTGGGCGTTGTTGGGCCATCAGAATTTAGGTTGATATTTTATTTGTGGAGGCCCACGATGATCTTGGGCCCAATTTGGAAAATTGGTCCATTGATGGATTTATGGACATTATAGTGTTGGGATTTTTGTTTGGGTTTGGGCCTTAGTTTGAATCATACAAGGCCAGGGGTAGAATGGTCATTTTACCCCATGCATGGATTAAGGATTATGCTATGGACCTAACTGCTAATTAGGTATATTGATTGTTAGTGACAACCCGGGAAGCTGGCAGGGCAGAAACTAAGGAGTTCTTTTGGGAAGCTTCTGCATTCGAGGTGAGTCTCCTCACCATACCAATGGGTATAAGGCACCAAGGCCGGCCCATTATGCATTATGTGATATGCTAGTCGATTTTCGTGTTATGTGGTATGCTAGTTGATTATGTGTTATGTGATATGCTAGTTGTCTTTGTGATACTTGCATGGAACACATCGGGGGGGGGGGGGGGGGTCCCGAGGTACTAGGGTGTAAGACCTTGGAGGGTTTCCATGGCATCCTTAGTGAAGACCATGTGGGGGTTCCCATGGCACCCGGAGTAAGACCCTGTAAGGTTTCCAGGGCGTCCTTATATGTATGGTTGGTATGACATTGGGGTAAGACCATGTGGGGGTTCCCATGCCACCCGGTGTAAGACCCTGGAGGGTTTCCAGGGCATCCTTATATGTTTGTATGCATGGCTTGTGTGATTGATAAGGTTTATATAGTTGTTACAACTGATATGGCTTATGTGATTATGTGGAATATGTGGGGTATGCTCTGGGGAACTCACTAAGCTTTGTGCTTACAATTTTATTTATGGTTTCAGGTATCTTTGTTTTGGAAAGGAAGGGCTCAGCTTAATCGCAGCGCACACACCCACATTTTCCGCAAAGAATGATTTTAGGATGAACTCTAATAAACGTTTTTAATTAACAATGTTTTGGAATGATTGGAATAAATGATATCTGTGTTTAGGTTATATTAAAAATGAAAATTTTACCCCTGATTTTTTTTGGGTCGTTACAAGTTGGTATCAGAACATTGGTTTGAGGGATTCATACATACTTTCGGGTGTGTCCGAACTCAAACTGAGGATTTGTTAAGTTTTTAAAAAGGAAAATGTTTGAAGGAAAGAACTTATAAGGCAAGAAAGGGTATGGTGCATGCAATCAGTCGAGCTCAAGTAAGTTTCCCTAGGATACCCACAATTGTTATCTATTATGATTTGATTATGAATCTGAATATCGCATGCTAGTTAGGGCTAGGAGAGATGCCTTTGTATGCTATATGAGCTTTTAGACTTGCATGCTAGTGTTGACCTTACGTGGTATGCCATGCTAGAATGTGAATGGTTATTGGTATTGGTAATTACTACGTGTATGTTTTTAAAATTGTATACGGTTAGGATCTCATGGCCTTAGAATAACTGGTTTGGCTCGTTTCCTGTTCTGTGTACAATTTGCATGCATAAGGCAGCCGACAGCATAGGTTGTGGTATGTGGGCTAGATTTTTTATGATAGCTTGTGGGTCGGAGATTACCCTAGGGTGAGCCTATGATGGGATTAGTGATAAGAGTCACCTGATTGTGAATTATATGTATAGCTAGAATTGTTTGATTGGAATATGTTGGTTAGTTTTCCCGTTGTCCGAATGCTGCTTGCTTTGTGCTTTGTGGGACTTTTAACAATGTGGGCTAGCTACTAAGTAAATATGTTAGGTCACATGTGGCACAAGCTGGATAATCCCATAGTGATGGGTTTGGCCCTATTACGCAACTCTTGTTTGAATCTAACCGTTCTAGGATTGAGTATGTTACTCGAAGGATTATCCAATCTTTGTTGCATGTGGCTATATTTATAAGGTAGCTAGTTGACATTACTGGGAATCTTTCAGCAGCTGAGGACTAGGAGGGTTGGGAACCTAGGGGGAACTAGGAGGTGCATCAGTGGATATTGTGTTTCTGTTTAGCAAACATTTAGTACATCAGGGGAGTAGGTGACTTAGAGGATTCGGGATGATTTCGGATGAAAGTATGGATAAATGTGGAAGGTAGTATTGGGCCCGTACTACCGAAAGCACAATATCCATACTCGAATTGGGGAAAGTCTTGGAGAATCTAAGAAGCATGGGAAGGAGAAATCTTGGTTATGATTGGACCGTGGGGATAGCTGATGTGCTGAATGTGGATGAGCATACAAGGGGAAGGACTAGGGTTTGGTCCCAGCTCCATTGGTGAGTCAGTTAGCGGAAGGACTGCCAGGATTTGGAGTTCGCCTTGTATCTCTTGTATCGGGAGGCGAGGATTGATCGTGCGATCTATTGCACTTTTGGGATTAGAGTCTATGACATTGGATGTAAGATCATGTGGGGTAGCCTATGGCATTCCTAGGTAAAGACTATGTAGGGTAGCCTATGACATTATATGTAATACCATGTAGGGTATCCCATGGCATTCCTAGGTAAATACCATGTGGTGTAAGACCTTGGAAGGAGCCCATGGCATCTTTACAGGTTTATGTATGCATGACTTATGTGTTATATGTAGTTTTTATAACTAACACAATATGTGATATGTGTATTGTGTATGGTATGCTCTGGGAAACTCACTAAGCATTTAGCTTACAGGTTGTGGATTTGTTTCAACTACTTTAGATCCCAAAGGCAAAGGCAAGGTGTGATGGCACGGCATGCACTCTCTCCCAGACATTTTCATGGGCACTCTGATGTTTGGAATAAAAGTTGTATTTGACATATGTTTTGAAAACAATTATGTTTGGATTTCTTAAATCATGGAAATGTATTTGACTATTAAAAAATGAAAATTTTCTTTGAAAAATTGGGTCGTTACAAAGCGAGGCACCGGTTTTGATATTACCAGAGGGAGTTGATGACTTCGTAGTTTATAGTGATACCTCGATCACCGGTATGGGTGCAGTTCTGATGCAAAGGGGTCATGTGATAGCTTATGCCTCAAGATAGATGAAGCCCCACGAGGCTAACTATCCGACACACAATTTAGAGCTGGGGGCTATGGTTTTCGCCCTCAAGATTTGGCGACATTACCTCTATGGGGTCCATTGTAGCATTTGTTGGATTAGTGTCTAAGCCCGTAACCATATTCGGTAAGTACTTGACTCGGTTGTGCATGGTCCTTTTGGGTTGCCTTCACCAAAACAACTTGACTAGAGAAGTAATAGAGAAAGAGGTTATTATGGTTTATTAATATATTATAAGAATTATATATTAAAAGAGAAATCATATTTGTTTGATTAATATTGGTCAATAATTAATTAAAAATTAATTTTGTGATCAAATGTAATTAATTAAACTAGAGGGGTTGAATTGTAATTATGTGATAGTTGCAAAATAGGGCAATGGATTCCCTATGGATAGAGTGGACGAATTCAAGGTGATAAGGCCTTAGAATTCATCCAAGATAAGGATTCTAGGCTTATCTTATGGGTTGCTTAGTGGGCAAGTAACCAGATAAGGATAAGGACTCAATCCCTAACCACTACCCTATATAAAAACCCCTTAGGCCTAGGAAAATTGGCCACTTGATCCCTAGAATACCTAGAGCCGATTTTTGCCTCTCCCATCTCTCTCTCTCTCTCTCTCTCTCTCTCTTGCCTCTCCATTTGCTTTTGGTGTTTGTGATCCATTAGAGGTACTACACTTGTGGTACTTGCTTTCAAAGACAAGGAGATTGAAGACTTGAGTTGGTATTACAATATAACAACAAGAGGTATGTAGTTCTTTCTACCATCTAAATTTCGAAATACCTAGATGCATGCTAGGGTTCTTCTTGTGTTCATAACGTTGTGTATCTAATAGTGAAAACATAGATCCAAATCTAGGGTTGTATGCACACATAGGATTGTTTGTATAAAACCCATCACCATTTACACGGACCATAAGAGTTTGAGATACCTCATGGATCAACCGAATCTGAACATGAGGCAATGTTAGTGGTTAGATGTAGGGGTGAGCATTTGGACCGGTGACCCGGACCGGACCGGATCGGACCGTTTTTTTGGACCTCCGGGCCGGTTCTCGGTTCTAAGTTTTGTACCCGGTTCGGTCCGGTTTTTACCGGGTCCGGGACTGGTTGGACATGGTAAAATATATATATATATATATATATATATATATATATATATATATATATATATATATCGGCCTAATTATACAATTGCAAAAACGATCGTTCCCTTTCCCATAACACGTGATACGGCTATTAGTATTACCGATAATTTGCAAACCAAAAAAACCCTCGTTCGAAGTCGATCATCTCAATTCTCAAATCCTTAATCGGCCATGGTCTTTTTTGAAACCTGAATGGCACCGCAATCAGCAAGTAATACTGCAATAGTCGTCTTAGTCTAGTAGTCGATGCCAAGCAGCCAAGCAATAGTCCTCTACTCGTCTAGTACTCTAGTCGATGCCAAGCAGCCAAGCGAAATCGGAAATCTGAAATCTGTAACCTCAAATCGCAAGTAGCCAATTCTTTTCTCTCAAGTCTCAACTCTCAAGTGTGGTTTCTCTCAAGTCTCGATTCACTCAAGTCTCGATTCACAATTAATGGAATCAAAAACCGGGATCGCTAATTGGATTGCACTTGATGATGATGAAATTCAAGTAAGGGTTACGATTTATGGTTATTTTTTTGTTAAATTTTGTTGAAATAACAAACAATATTGTTATATTTAGTTGAATACTTGTCAAAACAAAATTATTGTTATTATATGTAAACTAAGGGTATGTTTTTTGGTTGAATTTTGTTAATATTTGTTGAAAGTTATAAAGTATGTTGCTATATTTTGTTGATTAATTGTGAAAAAGTTTGTGTTTTGATTGCATGTAAACTAGGGTTATGATTTTTTTTGTTGATTTTTGTTAAATTTTATTGAATGTCATAAAGTATGTTGTTATATTTAGGTTATTTGTTGGTAAAAAAACTTATTGTGATTGTATGTAAAGTAAAGGTATGTTTTTTGGTTGAATTTTGTTAATATTTGTTGAAAGTTATAAAGTATGTCGTTATATTTTGTTGATTAATTGTGAAAACATTTTTGTTTTGATTGCATGTAAGCTAGGGTTATGATTTTTTTGTTGATTTTTGTTAATTTTTATTGAATGTCATAAAGTATGTTGTTATATTTAGGTTATTTGTTGGTAAAAAAAAACTTATTGTGATTGTATGTAAAGTAAGGGTATGTTTTTTGGTTGAATTTTGTTAATATTTGTTGAAAGTTATAAAGTATGTCGTTATATTTTGTTGATTAATTGTGAAAACATTTTTGTTTTGATTGCATGTAAACTAGGGTTATGATTTTTTTGTTGATTTTTGTTAATTTTTATTGAATGTCGTAAAGTATGTTGTTATATTTAGGTTATTTGTTGGTAAAAAAAACTTATTGTGATTGTATGTAAAGTAAGGGTATGTTTTTTGGTTGAATTTTGTTAATATTTGTTGAAAGTTATAAAGTATGTCGTTATATTTTGTTGATTAATTGTGAAAACATTTTTGTTGCGATTGCATGTAAACTAGGGTTATGATTTTTTTGTTGATTTTTGTTAATTTTTATTGAATGTCATAAAGTATGTTGTTATATTTAGGTTATTTGTTGGTAAAAAAAAACTTATTGTGATTGTATGTAAAGTAAGGGTATGTTTTTTGGTTGAATTTTGTTAATATTTGTTGAAAGTTATAAAGTATGTCGTTATATTTTGTTGATTAATTGTGAAAACATTTTTGTTTTGATTGCATGTAAACTAGGGTTATGATTTTTTTGTTGATTTTTGTTAATTTTTATTGAATGTCATAAAGTATGTTGTTATATTTAGGTTATTTGTTGGTAAAAAAACTTATTGTGATTGTATGTAAAGTAAGGGTATGTTTTTTGGTTGAATTTTGTTAATATTTGTTGAAAGTTATAAAGTATGTTGCTATATTTTGTTGATTAATTGTGAAAACATTTTTGTTGCGACTATATGTAATGTAGGATACGAATGTTGATGAAGAGGAATTTATTGAGGATACACCACAAATCAATTTAGTTGATGATTCGGCAAAAGATGATCAATCAAATGTTAACAAACGAAAAAGAACAAATAGCAAAACGAAAACAAGTCACAAAAAAAAACAAACAAGTGGCAAAGAAACATCCTCTTGTTGGGACTCATTTGATAAAGTTATGATAAAAGAAGATGATGGTATGGAAAGAAGATATGGAAAATGTCAATGGTGTGAAAGGCTACTAAAGGCGGATGGGGAAAGGAATGGGACTTCTAGTTTACTCAAACACGTAGATCGGTGTCAAAAAAACCCGAATAAGCTACAAGATCCAACTCAAACCAAATTGAATCTAAAAAAGGAGTCAAATGGAGATACTAGTGTTAAAACATGGAAACACGATGATGCAAGGATCAAAAAAGCATTACTTAACCTTTTTGTGGTAGGCGAATTACCTTTCAAGTTCGTTGAAAACGAGGCTTTTGTGGAATACACCAATGCACTTAATGCTAAGGTTGTGTTGCCATCTAGACATACAATATCCCGAAATGTTTCCAAATTTTACATAGAAGAAAGAACCAAAATGCTTCAATTTTTAAGTAACCCAAAGACCGCTATACATTTGACAACGGACACTTGGACGTCTTCTTGTCAAAGGACTACTTACATGGTGGTCACGCTCACTTCATAGATGAGAATTGGATGATGCACAAGAGAATTATAAACTTTAGGGAGATAGATAGCCATAAGGGAGAGGATATGGGCCGAGAATTACTCGATTGTATTCGTGGATGGGGAATGAAAAATGTCATGACCATTACCTTGGACAACGCCGCTACAAACGACAAGGCAATGGACTTTTTGGTCAAAAAGTTGCCCAATCTTTACGAGGGTGGAAAGCATTTCCAAGTTAGGTGTATGGCTCACATTTTAAACCTTATCGTAAAGGATGGACTAAAATACCAAAACTATCATGTTGAGTGTATCCAAAAGGCGGTACGGTACATTAGATTGTCACCACAAAGAATAAACAAGTTCAAGAAGGCGATGAAAGATTGTGGCTTACAAACGAAGAAGTTTCTATGTGGTGACACTCCTACCCGATGGAACTCGACTTTCGAGTTATTGAAGTCCGCATATGAGTTACGAGAGGCATTTACGGAATTTGGCATAAGAGGTAATATTTATTTTTAAGTTATATATCATATTTTCAGCAAAATTATTAAGATTTTGTTTAGACTATAATTTTGTTTGTTTATGTATCTTTGACAGATAAATCATATGAAAGGGATCTCGGTAGAGTACCGGAAAATTATGACTTTGAAGTTGTAACCGAAATGGTGAAATTCTTTGAAAAATTCAAAACAAAAACAGAGCTTGTTTCGGCTACATCAAAACCTTTGGTAAATCTTTTTATCAGGGAAGTCTTAGATGTGGACATACATCTAAGAAAGTGGTCAACCAAACCAATGTTTCTCGATATGGTAAAAGATATGAGGACGAAATACGAAAAGTATTGGGGTGCATATAACAAGATGAATGATTTTATGTACTTTGCGGTTTTACTTGATCCTACCACCAAATCACCTTTTTTGTTACATGCTTTTAAAAAAATGATCGGGTACATGGAACCATCATTGACCCCCGCGAGCATAGACATAAAAGCACGTCAAATGGTCCGAGAGGTTGAGAATAGGATGGAAAATTTATTTATGACCTACTTGGAACGATTTGACAGCGGTGGATCATCTCAACAAGAAGCGAGTCAAATAGCCATTGATGTTGATGATGATAATGATTTTTTCGGTGATTTTCTTTGTACGGGAGGTAGCAACTCGGATCCAACGGATAACGAGTTACGAACTTATTTGAAAGAGAATATAGTTAATTATAAAAAAGATTTCTCAATTCTCGGGTGGTGGAGAGTAAACGCAATTAGGTTCCCAACAATTGCTCGGATGGCGAAAGGTGATTACTTTTTTTATACTTTCATAATTTATTTATAAATTAATGTTATTACAATTTAATTCTTTGTTGTTAGATATATTGGCGATACAAATCTCAAGTGTAGCGTCCGAGTCCGCGTTTAGCACATGTGGTAGAGTTGTAAGTGAGTATCGGACTAGTTTATCGACGTTGATAGTTGAAGCTTTGTTATGCACCCAAGATTGGGTGAGAAAAACTACAAATCCGATAATTGACAACGTTGATGACATCTTGAACGATGATGATATAGCTTTGGGTAAAAAAAAATTACAAGCTTTGTTCTTTTTTTATACAATATTACTTTTTATTAAATACTAACAACATTTTCATTTGTGTTTATGTAGAGATTGCACAAGCTTTAAATATATTACATATTGATGACAATGATAAGGGGAAGAAGCCAATGGAAGATTAGATTACGAGTTTATGAAGTTTGTTGTTTTGATTGCTTTTAAAGTTTAAACTTTAAACTGTGTTTTTTGTTGCTATGGTATTATTTTTGTATGTTTGTGTTTAAATTGTTAACTTTTGTTGGTGAACTTGAAATATATGTTAGTTGTTTTTATTTGGAAAATTAAGTTTGCAGGTTATAATATTTTACATCAATGTAGATTACTTATACTTTACGCAACTAAAGTGGTACCGGTCCAAACGTGTCCAAAAACCGGAAAACCCGGACCCGGACACGGACACGGACATGGACACGGACACGATGCATCCGGTCCGGTCCATGGTCCATGATTTTCTCCCTAACCGGTCCGGTCCAAGAGCCGGTCCGGTCCGGTCCGGTCCAAATGCTCACCCCTAGTTAGATGTGGTTAAGGATTATGATTTTGATATCCTTTACCACCCGAGCAAAGCCAACGTAGTGGCTGATGCTCTAAGCCTCAAGGCGGTAGCGGCCCTGATCCGAGACATCTGTCTGAGGATGATTAGTGATTACTCCATTGTTAGAGAAGATCCGAGAGGCATAGGTCGATGGCCTGAATAAGGAGCGTCGGAAGTGTGAGTGGATTATAGGTCAGGTGGCCTCCTTCGATTACGATAACCAGGGATTGTTGACCCTGCATGGGAGGGTCTGGGTGCCGTAATGGGGTGGAGTGTGGCAAGTATTGATGGATGAGGCCCACAAGTCTAGGTTCTCCATCCATCCGGGAGTGACGAAGATGTATAGAGATCTTCGACCCGATTACTGGTGGTCTTGTATGAAGTAGGACGTAGCTTGGTACGTGGAGAGATGCATGACCTGCAGGAAGGTCAAGGCAGAGCACCGGAGGACTCATGACAAGATGCAGCCGTTAGACATTCCCGTGTGGAAATGGGAGGATATGACCATGGATTTCATTACTAAGTTTCCCAGGACCGTACGTGGAGTTGATTCGATATGGGTCATCGTGGATCAGTTGACCAAGAGCGCTCACTTCATACCAATCCAGGAGAGCATATAGGTTGATAAGTTGGCCAAGATATATGTGTGAGAAGTAGTGGCACGTCGTGGAGTGTCTGTCTCGGTGGTGTCAAACCGAGATGTCCGTTTTACTTCTAGATTTCGGAAGCGGTTTCACGAAGAGATGGGTACTCGTCTCCACTTTAGCACCACTTTCCACCCCCAGACGGACGGACAAAGCGAGAGGATGATTTAGAATCTCGAGGACATACTTCGAGCATGTGTTTTGGATTTTGGTGGCAGTTGGGATACATATTTTCCGTTAGCAGAATTTTCGTATAACAACAGTTACCATGCTAGTATAGACCGGCCTCCCATTGAGATGCTATACGGGAGGAAATGTAGGACCCCAATCTGTTGGGGTGAGGTCAGTCAGAGGGCCATAAGGGAGTACGAAGGTAGTACTCAAGACCACAGAGCGGATCCAGGAGGTCCAGAGCAGGCTCCAGACTGCGCAGAGTTAGTAGAAGAGTTACGCTGACAATCGGCGTTCGGATTTGGAGTTTCAGGTGGGCGACATGGTCCTCCTTAAAGTGTCACCCTGGAAGGGTGTTATCAGATTCCGGAAGCGAGGCAAGCTGGGACCCACGTTCATTGGTCCGTTTAAGGTTTTGGCCCGGGTGGGTCGAGTTGCTTACCGGTTAGATCTTTCAACATAGATCACCCAGATCTACAACACATTCTATGTTTCCCAACTATGGAAGTGCTTGGTGGATGATTCATCAGTGGTACCCTTAGAAGATATTCAGGTTGATGACAACCTGAATTACATTGAGAGACCGGTGGCGATTCTGGATCGCAAGACGTAGGAGCTGAGGAACAAGAGGGTTGAGCTAGTGAAGGTACAGTGGCAGCACCGCAAGGGCTTGGAGTGGACTTGGGAGCCTGAGGAAGAGATGAAGGAGCACTACCCAGAGTTGTTTTCAGACACAACAGACTTCGAGGATGAAGTCTAAGACAAGTGGAGGAGAATTGTAATGTCCGGTTTCCTGGTACGCGTTTAATTAAGTATTTATCTATTTATTTTGAAGGAAGGACTCGACGAGTTGGTAGCCCTGACTCGTCGAGTGGAAGGCAGTTTGTATGCGGGGATTTTAGTGAGCTACTCGACGAGTTGCAGCCCTGACTCGACGAGTAGGACAGGCTGGATGAAACCCTAATCTTTAGGGTTTGCACCCTATTTAAACATCATATCAGGCCTCCATTCCAGCCTCCATCACCTCCAAAACACTAACTTCGAAACCCTAATCCACTATAAGTGATCTTGAGCTATTTCTTGCCATTTTGAGTGTTATTTTGTGTCTTTTGAAGCTTGTGGAAGAAGTAGAATATAGAAGACTCAAGAGGCAAGGAGTAGATCCAGGAACAACACTCCATTTGCCGCATTTTCTTAGATCTATTTGTTTCCATCTTATGAAAGTTTTGGTTCAAGAACCTTGGTCCTTGGAGTTGGGATGTCCCAAGTGGCTCATATCTCAGATCTAGGCTTTAGGGAGGGTTCCATGGCATAAAGGTGCAAACTTTATGACCATGGAAGCCCCATGCAAGCATATGAGCAAGTTTATGGTCTTTTTAGCCTTAAAAGACTATGCATGGAACGAAAGCTCGGAACTTTATGGGTCCAACAGATGTTAAAACCCTAGATCTAGGTTTGTATGTGTGGATTCGAGACTCTATGGCCTTTTGGACAAGATTAATGTATTATAGGAATTAGGGTTTTGTCTAAACCCTTTTAGAATAGTTATGGATGGGTAAAGTTTGAAACTTTACCCTTAGATACATGATACTTGATTTTCTTTACGACTATGAATGATTTATGGTTTTATTAATGATTTTAAAATGAAATTTTTGGTCTGTATTTTTGGGATGTTTCATCAGTAGAGTAATAGGCTTGTAAACCACTGGGTTGTTGCTGTTGGGCCTGTTGATGTGGAGCTGGGCCGAGAAGACCCATTTGAGAACCTTGGGATGTTGTTGGATATGGACAAGGTGTTATAGTCTAAGGAGATGGGTATTTCCGTGGATTTTGCCAAGTATTAGGAGCCGACACATAATTGTTAAAGCATCCACGTCTTCATCTTCTTCCTCGTTGATTGCTACGGCCTCCCCGGTAACCTCCTCGGTAGCCACCTCTACCACCACCCCAAGATTTGCTGTTGTTGCTATGATTTTCAGAGAGTTGAGAGATGTTGTCGGAGAAAGGAGCGACTGATTTTTCAGTAACCAATGCTTGCGAGTTGTGAGAGGCTTACTTATTC